TGTAACTCGTTATTGATAATAAATGCTAAATTTCTATGACAAATTTGTTATTGATAACAAGTTTTATGAAACAGGGCCCTGAACTCCCTAATCCTCCAAACCCCAAATAAGCACAGATCTACGTACACTGTGCAAGGAAAATCTGGCATACAAGTCCATCACATTGTTTTTTGCCATTTTTTTTGCCATCCATGAACGTTCTGCCTCATCATCTCTCTCCATCACGGAGATGGATTGGTGCAGAGTTAACGAGCAATCAGCCCTTTCCAATATTATCATGGCGATCCCTGGAAATTGCCCATCCCATATTGATCTTGCAATCAAGAGATGAGTTGTCACGCGGGCGGCGTCCAGGCCAGGCAGTCGCTAAACGTCGTGCAAACTGCTTCCTACGACAAATACTGCCACGTACATCGCAAGCATGGAGAGTCAGAGAATAAATCAGGCATTAAGGAAGGCTCAGGGAGGCATAAAATAAGAGATACTTTCCCATGAGATAAACTGTACATTATTTAAGTAGATCCCTAAAGCGTGACTGGCAGCTAGGCAGCCAGTGTGTTGTACAGTATTAAGCCCGAGGCCAACGAATGTTAAGCCACTGTATCATAACAATGCGTTCATTCAGTTTTTATGCAACAATAGTACTTTACCAACTAGAGGTATAAAAATAAAAATAAAAATGTAATATTAATTCAATTAATATGAATGAATCAAATTATTTTTTACGAAATTGATATAAAAAAGAATTTTCCACTATAAATAGATTTTAAAATCTACTATGTCAGCAAAAGCCCACTGATTTTTTTATCCAGATACATTCTTCATGGGCTCTCTATCTCTATCTATGTATACATAGCTTTAGACATCATAGCAGCAAAGCCGAGCTTATATTACGGTAAGGTTTCATGCTCAATGCCCCAGTTCGGACCCTTTAAGAGGAAACTAATTGGAGAAACATTTGATTAACCTATAATGGACTAACGTCTGGGGGGCCCCTAGTATCTATGCCATGCTGCCCTTGTCATCAGAATTATTTTAAGTAACCACTCCAAGAGAATACAGGCAACCCTCAAGGACGGAATCATCCATGATGACCAGCGGCGCTTAATGAATCCATGGCAGCATGGCAACTCATTGCCATAAATTTTTTTCGGCCGGTAGCCGGTAAGCGACAAGGCAAAAGAGGAAGAAGACCTGGGGGAAAATATGACGGAGAGTCGTGATTTGAGAGGAACTTAATTTGGTCGATTAGATCATGATAATTACCATAGAGGGGGGTTTCATAGTCTTAGCAGGGAGGCTGGTCTGGTTCTGTCTGGGAGAGGATCTGTCTTGATGACGAGGATTTCAGAAGTGGCTGCTTTGAAAGGGTCAATAACCCTCTTTGATACATCGTGATACTCATTTACGAGTTCTAATGCATTTGTCTGCCGTTAATCAAACGTGAATGTGATTACTGGCAACATATCTTTAGTGTCTTTATTTACCATTCAAATCTTGGAAGGGGAGCTAGCCACACAATGTGATCATAAAGTTTTATTCATTGTCAATAACATCTTGAAAGGTTCACAAACATTTGGTGCAATCTTCTTTTATAAGAATCACTTCATGATCTGACATGACTGAAGAATGTCCCCAACCAGAAGGTGCAGTTCATTCTTATCTTTTTCTGTCCAAAATTTATTGGGGAAAATCAAATTGTTTGCATTTCTCTAGAATCCATGTGATTACTACAAAGTTAAATCAATACATACCAATTTTTTAGAGTCAACAGATTTCTGGAGGTTTACAGAACACATCAGGACAAAGTGGAGCCCTCTATTTTACCGCTAATATTTTCCTGTTATTCTAAAACCCCAATTGTAATTCTAATAACTAATGAAATCTGTGTATAACATATGTACAATACTGTACTGCTCATCTGCTATTACGATCTGTGAGTTGCCTCACACTTGCCTCACAATATTCTGAACTTAAAAATGCTGGTATGCCAAATGGTTATCAGAAAAATACTTGAAAATTATTTATGAATCATGTAATCCCTGTTTTACTGCTGCATGTACACCTACTGTGATATCATTAAACTCTGAGTGTGCTATAAATCATTTTATTACGAGTTTTTTTTGTTGATGGTATAATAAATATTATTTTAGGCAATCTTTTAACTGGTTTTCATAAAAGAATTAAGAACACTATACTTTTCACCACTTATTTTTTGAAGTCATCCCTCCCCCAAGTGTTATCCAATTGCCATATACAATCTAATGGTATAAATAAATATTGGCATGTTCTACAATAATACAAAGGCAGTAATGATTCTCTCAATAACTAAAGCCCTACATGTCAGTAAGTGCTTCCAATCAAAACTTGTTTCTATCATTTGCCAGGTAAAAGGATTCCCAATTCATTTGACAACTAGATCTAGGTCGTGTACACTGTAGGTGCAGTAATTTTGTGTCCCGACGTCGTTACAGAAAACCTGTATTAGAGGAAATACAAATCCCAAATGTGTATTGAAAATCGCCTAACCAATCCACCAGTCCAAAAACAGGTTGCAATAAATGTGCATCGGCATTTTGGGATCTGTTGCGGAATTTGCGGAAAAAGCACATCTATCCTACGTCCAGAGGCGACTTTGGCCCACTGTAGATCAAACCCTATGAAACGATACACCACCGCCACGAGGCGATTCCATTCCCTAGCAATTGGTCCCGACGCCGAAGACACCAATGGCATGAAATGCACATCAATCTTAAAGGCATCGTTTAACAATGTTAAATCTGAGATGCACGGCCCTACGTGTTATCAGTGTCTGTGATATGGTGTAATATTGAAGCCCTAGAAAAATTGCGCTTCAGAATGATCAAGAAGTGCTCAAAAAAGTAAAAACCTTTGAGTGACCGGTTCTATCATAATTGTTTTTCCCAATAGACTGTAGTGTCATGAAAACTGTTAGGAAAACGCAAAATTTTATTTCGATTTTCAATCATAAATATCTTGATAAACAGACAGGAGATCAGCTAATAAAATTCATGGGGTACCTGACTGACCTAAAGGATTATAATTATGATTGCAGCACAAGCTAAATTCAGGATTTTGTTTCAGAAATACAAAGTTACCCAATCCCTTTAACAAGGGTCCACTTCCCCCATCGTGTAAAGTTAAACCAACCCCCCAGAGGTGTCACAAATCCCACAGTGGGATCCTGATCTCTGCTGGTGCGTATCTTCTGTTGGGAACCAGTTTTACCATACTTGTTTTCCGCAATAGACTGTAGTGTTATGAAAACCGTTAGGAAAACGCAAATTTTGATTTTGATTTTCAATCATAAATATCTTGATAATCAGACAGGCGATCGGCTTGTAAAAGTCATGGGGTTCCTGACTGACCTAAAGGTTTATATTATCATTGCAGCAAAGTTACCCGATCCCTTTAACAAGGGTCCACTTCCCCCATCGTGTAAAGTTAAACCAACCCCCCAATGGTGTCACAAATCCCACAGTGTGATCCTGATCTCTGCTGGTGCGTATCATCTGTTGGGAACCAGAAGGGCGTTACCTCGACGCAAGATGATGCGTATTAACGCCCTTCTAGCTCTCAACAGATGAGAAACAACACAAAATAGGTGCTACCATCTGGTGCAGATGCTACATGTACATCCGTTATGCTGAAGTATGTACTGAAGACAAGGAGATTCGGTATATCCCCATATATACGAGCTTAATCAGAGATGGTATTTCTGGGGAGTGTTTCACGAAGACTAAGATCGTCTTTAACTTGGACTTAACTTTGGCAGGCCGTTCATACCACTTTTTCCATCAATAATGAATTATCAAAAGATGTAAATTCTGTAGATTTGTGGCCATGATTTGTATGTCCCTTGAGAGACCAATGCCATAGCTAAGTCCAACTTAAAGCCCCCCCCCCCCCCCCCCCGGAACCGCATACTGACTTTTAGATCAAAGAGGTGACTTGCAGCAGAGAATCTTCTAAAACAGAGAGAGAGATTAGGGCACTTTGTTACATTTTGAAAGATGCTCTTGAAGAAAATGGCCCCTTTCTGAAAAAAATTCAGGGCCATTTGCTCTTGAACCCCTGGTAGTATAATACCCTGGATACGCCAAGTGGGGGCTAGTTTCAAAAGAAATTCATCACATACTGTCTCCCAACGTGGGGTTCATTTTCCAGTGTGAAAGGGGATCTAAGCTGGTGGGTTACTAGCACATACCATCTTTTCTGAGACAAAAGGGCATTAACTCTGTGTTAAAGCATATGAGTTAACATCATTCGGGCCCCAAGGAGACAATACATTGGATGTGAACAGGGTTAGTATTCCTCCTACACTTACCTGGTAGGCTCCACTGTACAATATTAGTTAGGAAAAAAAGATACAGTCATAAATGTACATTCACACACAAAAATAAAGCTGATATTTAGTAAGAAATGGGTGAATTGTGTGGGGATACGAGCAAACTTCAAATCAAAATCAAAACCATATATAAGGATAGCATGCAAAAATAGGTATGAGATGTGTTGGAAAACACACATTTCTGAAAAATAAGCATGGAAAATTAAACATTGACATGTACACACACAAAACTAAAGAGGGGAAAATCATATTCTAGCAAGGCATATGAATGATTATGATTGCCATGCGAACACCGTTTCAAACAAGATTTGTTTTGCTTCAGGGCAAGGCAAGGTGATAGTTATTAATGAAAGGGAAACCTCTGTTAGTCCCACCCAATATGCTTTCTGCTGGTTATCTGCAATGATTGTTGAATTTGCATTGTTGAGCAGATGGCAATGAGGCGGTGTGTTTTAATTTGCAGATGAAATCAATGTTAACCTTGATTTCTCTCACAGGGAGAAAGAGAATTTCGCCTTTTACACCACTTATGGAATACCTGCATAAATCCAAAATAATTTGAGGATCATATCTTTGTCCACTGATATGAAATGAAAATCAGGGTATGAGAGTCATTGCCCTGTTTTTTTGTTTGTTTTTGTGTTCAGCCTAACTTTTGATCTTATTCTTTCTTGAAACTTATTGGTAAAAATTGTTTAAAAGGGTTGGAAGGGGTATGGATGGGGAGGGATAATCTAAGAGATTTTCGGAGCATGACAACTAATATCTATAGAGCTTTTTCTCTTTTGCCTAAATAGCTTTACACAACAAAATGCTCCAGAAAGAATACAAATCATAAAAAGCGAAGCCTCCAGATTACCTGGTTAACAAAAATTTAGAAAGGTTTCAATTATGAAATGATTTCATCCCAAATAGAATTTTTCGGAAGGTATTTCTCAGCTTTTATCCCTAAGGTTGATAAAATCAAGTACCCCAGAATTGAAGATAAGGAATAATTTGTTTTCCTTTCTTCATGGCATTTGGCATTTTGCAACACATTCGTGCAAAAGCTTTGTCTATCTTCCTTTCAATTTATCTCTCAGCTAATGCACTTTAGTATGCCACTAAGAATTTAGCTCAATTTGGTGTTATCTTTTCTATTTTGATTTCTTTCTTTTTTTCCCCTTTTTTTTTGTGTTTGTTTGTTTTTTGTTTTTGTCAGCAACTGAAATCAGCTAAAATAAAAGCTCTAGAAAGGCAGCGAGATGTCACAAAGCAGGGTTAAGGGGGGAGGGGGTAACTCGGGGAGGGGTAGCTACCTTACTCTCGATTGACGAGAGGAAAGGGGTAGTTTGGGTCTGTCTTTTATCTTTTTCTTTGGTTTTTTGTATTTTGTTACCTTCTTGGCATCATGATCGTTAGAATTAGGCGAGCCTGCATCTTGGCTTCCTAGGACGACGTTAGTAGTAGTGGTTCCATTGGGTGTGGCCATCAGCTCATCGGAACCCCGCTGTAAGATGAGGGGCAACAGGCAACCAACCAGAAGAAGGAGGATGAAATAAGGAGACAAAGAAAAAAAGAGAAAAACACAACGCACCAGTGAGAAGGAGAAGAGTATTTTAAAAAATAGGAGGAGGACAGCTCAGAACTTAAAAACAAACTCTTTTCCACATGCAGCGGAAAATTTTGGTAAAAAAAAAGGTCAAATCATGAGATAGAGAGATATATAAATATCAAAATCATGCCCAAATATAGATGATTTTTGTTTGTTTGCGAAAACAACAAAAAATGGAATAAGTTACAAGTGCCCCCACTCATACAAAATATAAAAGCATCACGCATGTGATATATGTCAGTAAAATGCAACATACAGATAGTGTAAAAATACATTATGTAAGGAGTATTATAAGAGATGCAAAATCATTGATGTATGAATTATGTGAATGTGGATGGACGGGTGGAGAATTGTTATTAAACAAATAAAAGAATGGCACACTTTCTCCCTACATGGAGCAATGGAATGATCAAGCAGTGCATAAAGCTAGTAAAGACGTCAGAGCTTCCAACTACGCCAGAAGGGGGCGTTGAGATGTAGGATTGGAGGAACGGACAGGACACAAAAGTCGGGTATCAGACGGATGTCCGACTTTTGAGTGGACCCTGAGGGAACGACGCTGGCAGAGTACAGGCGGCTTTCCCTGTAAATAAATATTATCTCGTCACCGTGAAAACCATCTAGACACAAGTTGAATACATAAAAATCTACAGTATTAGTATACTCTATGTAACGAATGCCATACTTTCCAGTGTGGAACACAGGCTTGTTTAAAGTCTGATAAAACACACTTGGATAATCAACAATCTTAAAATAACACAGACAATGAACTACTCTACTGAGTTATACTACATTAGTTATGACCTCTAAAGGCCCATTTCACATACACAGTCACAATCAAAACAGACAAGATATTCTTTTTCATCAAATATAATACACTCTTGCTTCATCGAAGGTCACAGATGTCCTGTACTATCGCAATTTAATTTGAGCATTGAACATGTCAAATCTACTCTATTCTCTGTACACCCTGCAAATTCCATTTCACACATGGTTACTCATGTTTTAAAGAAGGAATACGTGTGCAATAAAAGAACAAATGTCATTAATCATTTTTATAATAGATTCCATCTCTCACCCGTAACAAATATCACTTTCTAGTTCTCCTCTTCCTCCCTCACTCTTTTCACTACATCACACTATCCTATCTCTTGTCCTCCTCTCTCTATATTACTTCTAACTTCTCTCTCTCTCTCTCTCTTTCTCTGCACCTTTTTCTACTCCTCCCTGTCTTTTTTTTCTCTCTCTCTCTCTCTTCTCATCTCTATCTCTTTACTTCTCTTTGTACCTCCACATTTTCTCTTTCTCTTTCTTTATCTTCACCTCACCCCTTCTCTCTCCCTAACAGTCATTGCCTCTTTCTAACTCTTCCATCTATCTCAACATGCCATTTGTAATTTTCATCTCCCCCTATTGCTCCTTCCTTTTCTAAACTCTCCTACTCATCTCTTTCTTTGTCTCTCTTTTCTGTAACCTTTTTTTCTGTCACTCCCTCTCTAAAACACACACACACTTACACACACACACATTTCCTCCATCTCTTTTGCTCCATCGAACCCTCCCTCCCTCCCTCCCTCCCTGATCTCTCAGTCCACTCTCACTGCCCTCCCTCTCTCCTTACTGTAGCCAGCTGATCCATTAGATCCAATGGGTTGATAATTATGGCACCAGATCGATAGACAATGCCATGTTATCTACCACTGATATGAACATCTTATCCACCGTTAAGAGCGAGAAGGGCGTTAACCTAGGGTAACAGTATGTACGTTAACACCCTTCATACTCTCAACAGAGGTTTATATCTGCTATGGATTCTAGGCGCATCCCAACTGGTGCGCAATCAATCAATCATACCTTTACTTGTAAATACTCCAGGCAAATGACTATTACAGTCACAGCTCGCAACAACATGCACATGTACTGGTACATACTACACACATGTACGTCTGTACACATGTACGTCTGTAATCATCAGAAAAAGGTCGTGAGACCTAGGACAACAGGAGGGAGTTTCACAAAGATCCTAAGATGAACTTATCTCTAAGATAGACTTAACAATTATGGAAAGCCGTTAGCATATTTGAAAAATATTTTGTAAAAATTATCTTAAAAGGCATAAAATGTTGATTAAAATCATTCGTATTTTCTATTATCAAGGAGATTTCATGTTGTTGATGTGGAATTTATAAAAAAAAGTCTAAAATACTTGATTTTTCGCTTTTGAATATATTTCATTTTAAGGCTACAACTGGCTCTCCATAATTGTTAAGTTCAACTTAGAGTTAAGTTCAACTTAGGATCTTTGTGAAACACCCCCCGGGAGTTGGCACGGAAGATGATACCTGTCGGTGGCTGTTTCCAAGGGTGCGAACTTTGTGTTAAAGTATGTGAGCCAACACCCCAAACAGATTATGTTAACTATCAAAGCCAATTTTAATGCTTTGCGCATTATTCACATTCAAAATAGCATGATAATATTGCATCCTTCTCAAATCTGACAGAAAACAAATGAGCAACATAGGCTCTGATGAAATGCTCTGTCCCTGAACAATTAAAGCTAGCCGAGCCAGTCTGATAATTAGATTTACAATCCCAGTGCAGCAGGTTTCTTTCCTTGGTATCGCATTCAAATGCCAGCAAATAATGCCTCAATGTCAAGCCATGCCACTGGTTTTGGATAATGTAAAATCAGCTATGCATGAATACATACTCATAGTAACTGACAACCACTTGCCACAAATCTATATCAGGACTTCCTGGGAAAGAAAATACCTTTAAAAAAATACATAAAGGATGCTCAGACATTTCAATCAGTTAGAATGCATTTCTCTCTGCCTAACACATCTTTTGTTGCATGGCATGAGAAAAAGGAATTTTGCCATTTTTATGCATCTTGTATGAGCATACTTTTTGCAAAAGTCATCCATCTGGCCAGGTTTAAATCCAGACCAGGTATGTACATGTACAGTAGATGTGTGAAAATTAAAACAAAAACAAAGAGAAAAAAAAGAACACCTTCTTATTTTCATACGTTTAACAATTCTTTGTTTTTCTTTTGTGAAATATCAGTTAATGTTTATGGAACAGTTAATGTTTATGGAACTGTTAATGATTGACACTTGGACTACTGATATATCAGTAGAATCACAGTTAAGCAAGATTGGCCACTTTCAAAACTATCGGCCATAGACTACCTACATTTCGAACTACGCGTGCACCTGTATGTTATGCTCAACAAGTCCCTTTTGTTGCAATTGGAAACTCCTAATCCCACTCACAGTTATTTGTGTGGGGTCAAAGCCAAGTTGCCCTAGGATTTATTTCTTCTCCCCAAGCACAGTTAAGCTTAAATCCACTCCACACAGGCACTCTAAAAGATGCCTTTTATAAATAGGCTTAACCATCCAGTGTAATCCCAACACAAAAAGAGACTAGATTTTATAGTAGATGGAATTAGGCCTTCAATCTAATTTGAATAGAATACAAATGGTGGGGGTAAGGTAGAATGTGCTACACAAACATGCACTGTTGAGTAGGGGTTAAATTAATTGCCCCTATTCAGGTAAAAACATTGTCAATTTAATTGGCGTTTCCCTTCTTATTCTTTACTCTTTAGGCACTTCTGACATCTTATCACCCATTGTTTAATATCACAGAAGGGCTTCACAAGAAATGGGTACTGATAACACACCTTTGTTCCCAGATTAATCAAAATAGAAATGAAACTTGATGTGGATGTGCTTGAAAGAAAAACAGTATATAAAAAAAATTCAGGCAAACAGTTTGCCACATGATGTGTTATGAGAGGTACAGTGTATGCCCCTTTCATGATTTCTTGCTTTTTTCTTACATCCTGTAAATGCACTTGGGGTAAGAAAATCTTCCAAATCACCCCTGCTGCATTTCACTCTGGATTCATATTCTGCTGTAAATTCAACCGACTTTTTTATAATAACCAATGGTTTGTGAATTGAAAGAGAATTGCTGCGTCATTCAAATGTACTATGGACTCATAGCATTCAGCATGTATGCAAGTAAAACTGAAGACAATGGCCAGACCACAATGATAAAGGCATTTCAAACCGAGACAGAGACAGAGAGAGAGAGAGTATCATCAGTGCTTTACAAACATTACATAAGAGGTAAAATCAGGTTCTATTGATATGCAAAGCAGAAGCCCTGTCTGAAGATTCCACACCAGAGCACATAGAGGTCTCTCCTTGTTTAATTTAGGCATTACCTTGAGACAAATACAATCAAATAATGTTTTCCCACTCTCAACGCTGAACGCTGACCTCTGATTGGTCACGACTGGCTGGAGCACTGAACAAACTTTCCCCTGCCCTGGAGTCCATACAACTTGCAAAGGCCACAAAGAATCTCTCAAAGGCCACAGGAGTCTTTCAAAGACCACAAGGAACTTTCAGAGACCACAATGTGGATCTTCCACAGTGTTTGTGATAGGGCTAAACACATACTGGGCAGCGTCTTTTCTGAAATATGGTACATTAAAGGCCATCTCAAGCTATCTAAATGCATTCTGATTACAACAATTGCTTTTTTTTCTCTTTTATTTTCTTCTAATTTCAAGAGATGCTTTCTAGGGTATTGACACATAATCCACAATGGTTCATCAAGTATGAATAATGAAAAAATCCTGTAAGATTATGCCCTTTGTGTAAACCAACACAATGTGTACAAATTTGCTGAAGGCCACTAACAGCAAAATGCAACCACATTAAAATATGAGCAGATGGGACTACACATAGTGGATGATCACACACAAGCATGGTTCAAAGTCAATCATTGGAACCGAATACTCACAGAATTCATGTTTACTTTGCTAATTACTTAGCAATTACACATTTTGAGTCAACCTCGTATACGGTTTCTAATATGAAGTATATATTTCAAAGCATTCCACAAGGACTTAATTGCCCATGATCAAAACTTGCGTCTGCATCCTTTAAAAAATGGACTCTGGCCAGTGAAAGTTATGGGATGAAGGCTGGCATCTCTTTTAACACTCATCTCAGGCGGCAGTAACTTGCCATTAGATAATGGGTTGACAAATATTGGGGGCGCAACCCAACTATTGCAACAATCGTGGCTTTCCATGCATAGGGGAGACGAGGCTTATTACTAGATAATGTCAAGCTGGAGGTTGGTTTGGTAATTTATAGATTTGTCTTTCTTTTACTCACAGAGAGAGAGAGAGGAAGAGAGAGGGAGAGAGAAAGGGGTGGGGGGGGGACGGTATAAAAGAGAAGTATGTGTTTTGGTATTAAAAGATTATCAAAAATTTGTGAGCTTTCTAGTTATATTTAATATCAGTTTGAAAGAATAACATGGTAGTATATCCTCTGAAAGTGGAAAGGGTTACCTTTTCAATACCCTCGTACTCAAAATATGACAAGTAATAGCTGGAAATATTGGAACAAACTTTCTTGCCATATGCTGTTGTTGTTGTTGTTGTTGTTGTTTTTTTTTTTTTTTTTTTTTTGGGGGGGGGGGGGGGTAGTTCCATAAACCCATTTCTGTGTTTGTGACATGTGATTTTTCAGCAAGACTGATGCCATTTTTTGTCACTGTGATCATTCAAAAACCTCAGAGTTAACATCAATTCTTACATTGTAGCCTACTAGTACATGTAGTTGACACTTCTTGGTCGATTTGTATTTCTTCTACAATGTAATCACATGACCAGTTCTCCACTTTATCTTTAAACAATAAAAGTAGGTTCAACGGACCATGAGAGATTGATTGGCTGGCTGGCTGGCTGGCTAGCAGTGAAAGGGACATGTTTGATTGACCGTTGATACAAAGAGCTAGATGAGGAGAGATCGGCTTGAATCAACATGTAGCAAATATCATGCAGAGCTTATTACAACTGATGGTAGTCTAGAGAGAGAGAGAGAGAGAGAGAGAGAGAGAGAGAGAGAGAGAAAGAGAGAGAGAGAGAAAGAGATAGACATACAGACAGAAATAGAGACAGACAGACAAAAGTGAGAGAAGGGAGAAAGGCAGGAGACAAAGATACAACGAAATAGAAGATGTGAGAGAGAAATAAATAGTGGCAGACAGACATAGACAGACAGAAGATACAGGTAGAAAGTGAGAGAAAGCTATGAGTGCGGAATTGAGGGCTTGTTAATGTTAAATCATTAACTAGGGGTAAGTTATTGATTCAATATAGGAAAAGGACTATACATTTCCTTCTTTTATTTTAACCTTTAAAATAATGTATTGAAATATTGAGGTAGATCAAACAAAAGCAATGAAATGAAGTAGGGCAGACAGAGGCTTTTTCATTTGATCTGAAAGCAATCATGTCGATTCAGACAGGAAAACATACAAATATGCCGAGAAGAATGAGAGTTCCTGAAAAACAATGGCAATATATTCTACAAAGAGATAGAGAGAGGGACAGAAAGATACAGTTTATAATACATCAATACAGCATTGTCATTACAGAGTCATCATACAAGCATTGTTTGCCCGTTATGGGGCACAGGCTATTTACACAGGCTTTCAGGGTATAGACTTAAAAAGTCAAATTAAAAGGGGCTTATTAGTCCTTCCATCATGGTTTTCGTTCTATTCATAGGAACCCAGGGCTTAATAGCTGGATGGAATTCAATTTAAGCTATCAACTCATCTTGCCAGTCCCCACCATGTGTGTGCACAGTTTAGAAAAGTCAATTCTTGACGAGCCAGGCAAACAAGAGAAAAGCACTTATGAATTTTTAACCATTGCATCCATTTTGTAATTAGGTTTTACACTAGGGCTCCCCCCCCCTTACTCTCTCTCTCTCTCTCTCTCTCTGTTACCCTCCCACTCTCATTCTCTCTCCATCTCTCTCTCTCTCTATCTATCCCTCTCTCTCTCGACTACCATCAGTTGTAATTAGCTTCAATTTTTTGTTTGTAGGGGCTATCGGTGTAGGAAAGCAATTCATTTATAATTGATGACAATTTGAATATGAATATTGATCTCCCAAGTCCAGCTGCATTATGCCTTAATTGGAAGCCAGCATTTAACGCTGGGATGCTTCCCCTGTAAAGCGCCAGAGTGCCTTTTTCTATTTTTTGGTCGAGACATTCATTCTCATGGCCGTTAGATTTTTTTTCTCCTCTCGCTCTTTCTCTCTACGGACGGACCATTGTTTGTGGAAAATATGATGACAGCATGAATATGAGCTTGGTGAACGTATGAAAGTATTATGCAGGTGTTATAACCCTCAATCCTTCGTATTTTGTAATCTTGACGCTACACAAATGCTTCAAATTTCACCATACTGCTTTCCATTCTCCATTCCGTACCCTCCTTGCTACGAGCTCTAAATTGCCCCCTTCTTTTGGTTCATAAATAATTACAGATAAATAATTTCGAAATATTATTCACATTTCTTGAAATTCAGGACTAATTTCAAAACTGGTCAAGGGAGGAGAATTTACCCATTGCACTAAACATGAAGATACAGTCAAACCTGTCTATAGCGACTACCCAAGGGAAACACAAAAAGTGGTCTTTGTAGACAGGTTCCTTTAGTACATGTTCCAATGAGAAACAATCTACAAGGGAAACTACAAATGTGGTCTTTATAGACAGGTAGCACTAAAGCAGGTTTGACTGTATCTATGCTAGAATATCAATATGTTATATATTAAACTTGCCGTTCCTTTTAATACTATTATAACCTTTTTCTATTTTTCAAAGTCCTCTCATGAAGTAGCTGGAGGTTTCTGATAAAATTCCTGAGGTAGGATGTATTGAATAAATGTCCATTTAAGAGTAAAGGAAAGGCAAGTTTAATACATAATATGGTTAATTAACTTTTTGCCTGTTTTTATAATCTTGTAACATACATGTAGGCATTCAATTCTATTAGTAAAATGGTGGTCTTAATAGAACATTAATAACTAATTATGATTAAGTGTCTCTCAGGACATGTAAATTTCCATCTCGCTAACGAGGGAAAATGCATGTACATTTATATCACTGGAAAAGTCCTCTAAATAATTGAGTTCGTAGACTCAGTGATCTCTCTCTCGAAAGTACAATGTGATCAGAGATGGTATGAGTGAAATAATTAATAAGAACGGTTACATAAAGGTCTTTAGAAATAATCGCAAGTTGTCATTGCATGATATGCCCAAACCGTTATCACATGAACAAAAGTGTAAGTGAACACATATTTTGCTTTAGAAATATATACGTCACAAGAAATACAAACTAACAAATAAAATGAATGAACATGTATGTAAATTGATGAATGCAGGCACGCCAAGTTTTTAGATTTTCATAGAAGCTTTAGATAGAAGTACATGGAGTAGCTTTCAAGCAAGTATGTTATCAATTGATGTATGCATGTAAGGAGAAAATGGGAACACGTGTAATGCTTAATAAAGCACACGTTTTGGGAGTTACCAGACTACTTCAATCATTGAATGGCATACAAATGCATGACGAGAGATCATTGAAAAGTCCCTTTTTTTGCCCCAATTACAGCGGCTTTATGAATTCTTTATGGCAGTAGAGGCAAAGAGAGAAAGAGAGACATGTACACATGCTGTCTTAAAACCAATCCATACAGTGAATGGTCGGTTGAGTACTTTCAAAAGAGTCTAGCCACACGAGCCATTCAAACTACATGTATTGTACTCGTAACACGTCGAAGCATGCATGTTGAATGGACGCAACAGTACGAGAGCGTAAAAGAGAGAAAGAGAGAGAGTAATAAGTGGTCATGGGTGCTTACCAGAGTTCGTTTGCGAGATGTATAACCAGCAAAGGGAAAGGTAATGTGATGAGGGTTGGGGATGCCGACGGGTACGGAGTAGGGTACGGTGACTGGTACGGTTCCTGTATGTCCTAGAGTCAGTGGGTGGGGGATCATAGACATGGGAGTTACGCCTTGCAATGCTGCGACACTAGCAAAGTCCATGGTGGTATCTAAATCAGTAAGGTCTTATGCTCACAGTCTTATGTGAACCAAGCTGGAGAGCATGCACTGAGAGACAGCCCCGGAGGAGAATAATAGGCCAGCGAAGGCAGGCAGCAGTGACGAAGGCACAGGTAGACAATGGTCCAAACACTTCAAGGCTACCTCGCTCTAATCTGTCTCCTAAACACCTGCAGATTTCTATAGGCCAGGGCACTGAATAATGCTTGCCGTCACTAGCCCCTGTGTCAATCCACCTCAGTGTACACTGTACATACACGGCGATTGGGTGGGGGGGGGGGGTGTATCCAATACAATAGATGAATGGATTCACTTTCTCTATCTCTGTCTCGCTTCGGGCATGTGTACACATGAATCTGTGTGCTCGCATTCAGGAGTGATCGTTTAACCAACTGATAGGTCAGATCGTAGCGTCCAGGAGCAAATCACCACGCTTGCTGCTGCTTGACAACCAACCACATTAAATCACTCTCGGTCCCTCGTAACTTCACTCTCAACCTCAGATCAAAATTAATAAGCCAGTCATCTCCTGCCCGACACAGTCCGTTAAATGGCACTCCACCCGGCCAGAGAGCACTTTTTAAAGTGTCGAACGACGCAAACAATTAAATCAATCCCTGAGCGGCATGGAGCACCTGATACCTCTTGTTTACGTGTGTCCTACGACTCCTGCCGATTCTCAGGACACTCAGAAGGAATTTATCTTCTGGAGAGCCCTACTGAGCTGGGGTAACTCTGTCTGCTAGATTTCACATAAAGGCGAGCGACGGAGTGGAACATGCTCGTCGGCCGGAACCAAACCAAGGCTTTGCCACTGCTCGGCTGCTACGCTGCTGAGCTCCCTGGCTGGGTACACTATCAAACGCCACCTGCTAGCATGAGCACCATATTTTACATGCATACACATTTCTCTCTCTTTCTCTCTCCCTCCCTCTTTCTTTCTCTTCACCCTACAATGCAAGCAAACCATTTCAGGTACAATAGAATGCTTTTGTTTGGGTAGAAACCTGTACAGAGAAATGGTTTGCAACTATACAAACATATTCCTTTTCTTTCTATTCTAGTCTATTTCAGTCTTTTTCTTTGCACTGCAGGAGAACTCTTTTGTACCCGGATTTTCTAGCTTGAAGATTTCAAGGGAAGGTATTAACAGAATAAACCACAGGCAATGTTCTCCTTTAATGGGACAAACAAGTTACACCTAGTAATAATCATACCATGACATTTGTTTTATCATGGGTAGATGAATACTCATAAATGAAATCAATACAAAATTAAAAGAGAAGGTCGAGATTGTGAGTACTACTTTTCACCTTCAGGCAGTAGTGATGTCACATACAAAATAATCACTCATGAAAATAGCTCTTGAGTTTCAGTTATGACTAGAGATATATGTACCTTCAAATTAAGAAATGTTGATGCCACCTGTTAGATACAGACACCTGTGTTAAGTGGTCTTGTCTTGTTTTGTTAACATTAGGAATTATTAGCCAAACTAAGTCAATTTTGGAAATGCTAATGATTAAAGAAACTCATAATACACCGTAGTTATTCTTTAATAAACAATTTAGTAAGTGCAACAACACAGTCATTTCAAGCTATCTATACTCTCCCCCCCCCCCCACCACCACCACCGAACCCCCCCCCCCCCCTCCCCTTCCTCACAAGCTCAGTAAGATAACATTACATTCTTCTTGGATCAAATCTAAGCTTTTCGACCAACAGTCAAATATTGAAACTTCGCTACCTGCCAAACAGCCAACACTCCAACCCATATTTTCTTATTCAAATTACGCACTCTTGATATTTTCAAAGAAAATATTTGCAGTGGGTTTCAGTTTTGCATAACAAGGGTGGGGTTCTCGTTCTCTATTATTAAACCCGTCTTCCCTTCCCTTCTCTTTACTCTTCGTAGTCGGCTCAATGCCATATTTCTCCACGGGGCAAATTAGGCTTCCCCTCGAAGTGATTTGCATAAAGCTTCCCCTGTGGGTAAGCAGCGGCCAATTTTTAAAGTGCAATCCATAGGTCTAATTAAGCATAACAAGACACAAAGTCATGAGAAAAAACACTTTAAATCAAGCCAAGTATATAAACAAGTGTAATGCACTTGATCTTTACAATGAATGGTAGTTCCCATGGGAAGTTTCTTCATAACAATTTGTAGTACTGAAAGGATTCAAATTGCAAATGACTTGATATAGTTTTAGCCTTATCTATCATCCAAAGTAATGTATGAACACACATACTTCTTCTTCTTTTTAATACCTGTATGTAACACTTACTCAGAAAATAAAAGATATTTGCCTGGTTGTCTCATCACTCTGATAATAGGGACAAGGACAAGATAATGACTAAAAATGATTACCAATCTTGTGATCTCATATTCAGTGTCACGCCACAGGGTCAGTACAACTATTAGCCTTGATCAAGTTATTCCAACCCAAGACTCTATTAGTGTTTACATCAGAAGTGAACCTTTCTTACAGTTTCTGTTAGAAACAATGCTTACACCTCTCTTTCTCTACAGAATGTTTCATTACAACATGTTCAGACTGGAAAAACATCATTTCTTTTAGTTTCCATTATGAGATAGCTATACCCATATAAATTTTGCTTGTCTAAACAAAAGGTTGAAAGAAACCTAATGAGTTTGGAAGGGTTGTGCAACACATGCTCCAACAACAACTGTTCCATGGTTAATATCATAGGCTATGCGAATTCCTAACTTTAGCCCTGGCACTTTAGACCCCCACACCCTACGTCTTGGACAAAACAAATCATGTAGCAATTGTCACAAGAGCATACCTACGTCAGAACACCTTTAGAAAAGATGATGAGCACTGATATCACAGTCCTTTTTGTTTTACCATTTCAAAGTTTATCTTTTTTTCTTTATCATTGTAAATCAATTCTATTATAGTTATTTCTTTCAGAACTGGAGCCAGAATTTTCAGAATTTCAGAATTCTCAGCGGGAAAAAAAAATCCGCGGAGGAATTTTCACCAGAGCATACGTCAGAGCACCTTTAAAAGTGATGTTGAGCACTAATATCACAGGCCCTTTGTGTTCTACCATTCCACAGCTTCTCTTTCTGTTTATAAATTTTGGTTCTTTATCATTGTAAATTGATTTTATTATACTTATTATTTCTTTCAGGACTGGAGCCACAAAGTTAACCTGGAAAATGAATAAAGTTGTCTAAAACATTTTGAACATTTTCTTCAGAGAATTGATCCAGTGTTTTTTTTTTATATCATGGGATAAAAAGGAAATGATACTGGTGTGGGTGAATTTTCAATAGTTCGAAATATTGATCCGAAGATATTATCAAAAACTAATCTGCTTCATAGCTTTGTGCATTGTGAGTTCTTGACCTGTTTACTATTGTATAGCCCAATTATTACGATCAAAACTACATAACATTCAAACACAATTCACATCTGTTTGTTCTCAATCTAAAACCACTGAACAAGTACACGAGAGGGAGATAGAGATCGAATTGCAGCCCTTTTGATTCTTATTGATTTTGACAAGTTTTCCCAGTTTTAATTTGCTCTAGTCTACTTCACACGAGGGCGCTATGACGTGCGAAGCGCAAGCATCCTATCGTTTGCGCTTCTCACCCCCAAACTGGAGCAAGAGGTGTTTCAGGGAGTGAAACTCCCAGACGGAAAAAGTCGAAATGAAGCTTATCGGGTCCAATGGGAAAGCCATTGAAATTACACTTGGGGGGCAGGTGGATAGGGATAATAAAAAAATGACTTAATATTTCCATCTCTTGTTTGTTCTTTTCAATTCGGAGAATATGAGGTAATGAGCTGTCCGACAAGGTCCCTTATCACATCGACCGTTTTGTTTTTTTCTTCTTTCTATTCAATACATTATCCTGTAGTCAAAGCCTGGATCGACATGCATGAATTCACAAGCTTGATTATATATGTAATTAAATTTGGTAAATTGTTTTTTTTTCTAGGTCAGAGTCACTCTAGACCGATGGCTTATTTTACCATGGCAGATTAACTTATCCCATCCCAAACAAAAGAAAAATCTAAGAAACATTGTAACTTCCACAACTATGTCATTCAATTACTCTAAAGCAGTATAGAAAATATCATGGCATAAAAGGGTTGCTTTTATAATATCATAATTTCGAGCAAAAGAAAATGAAATATCACTTCCTGACTACATTTGTTTATTTTCTTTGATTTATCAAAATGTAAAGAAAATGTGATGTACAAAATAAGATTGTCAGCCTTGAGGGTAGCATTTCAATCTAACCCGCTCTCCTTTAATAGCACTCTCTTCCAATATACAGACTTTAACCACCCCCTCCCATTTTCCCACCTTCTCCCCATCCTTCCCCTCCCCCATTTTTCCAACCTCCTACCCCCTCACTTGATTACCTCCATTTCAAATTACACCCATCCGCACTGCTCCCTGACACAATGGTCCATATCTCGCTTTCATATCAGGGGTAATAAAATATTTACGCCCGCCACGCCACCATGATGCTTCTCTCTTTTTGTCTTAACATCAGCAGCAGTCATCTTCGTGCAACAGTGGGAAAGGCTAGACAAAAAAAAAAGTGCAGCCCACCTCGTGCATGAGAGAGAGAAAAGATGCACACGGCATACATATACAGATGGATGCAGCATCCATACCAATGGGATATTGTTTTGTGGTGCCTCTCCACCTCTCTCTCTCTCTCTGCAATTGATCCCGTGACTAATGGGGATGCAGTATCGCCATGGCGACCACAATTCAATCACATTTGGGGTGGCGTATTCGGAAGCAGGACCTCGGAATGATATCAAAATGGTAATAACAATTTCAATTTCATATATGCACCCTTGACAATAGGAGGATTGCTGAGAGGTATTATTCATGCACTGGAAATAGCAAGAGTTTATTCCATCGCTGTCGATGTAACATTGGACATCCCTGAACAATCAATTATTTCAGGTTCCCCCTAAGGTAGCTCAGAATAGAATTAATTGTTAATTGTAAAATTAAATTGACGTACGAGTACGACTGCCACCGTCTGTGCTTTGCATTTGAAATGTTGAGTGAGTTGACAAGGGCTTAACCCGTGTAAAAAAATACAGATCATCCAAATAGGAGAGGGAGTTTTGATGGGGGTGATGGGGAGAGGGAAGGATGGAAGGGAGGAAAGGGGGAAGGACTGAGTGAAGTTGCATGACTAGCAAATAATTATCACACTATCACTGGACAAAATTTGATACGCATGTATTCTATAAACTTCATCTGGAAGTTCAGTCAATTAATTTGGACGTGGTACATAAAGTATGATGTGTTGCTTTTCGAATGATTTCAAATAGCTTTTTTCCCTGCTACAAGTAGAAGGCGCAATCAAAATGCTAATACCATCAATAGGAAATGACAAACCAAGGCACTTAAATCCTTATTTCTATAACTGCAAGTCCTCATCATCTCCTGAGATCAAAAAAGACATTAGCATGCTGTAACATAAGAGTTAACATCCTTCTGACTCTACGCCAGAAGATGTTAACAACTGCTAGAGGAGCTCATTAAATTAATTGCATTTCAAGTAGTGAGATCTACAGATGTTTTGCGCTACCATCCACACCAAGTTTGACCAATTTAAATGGAAGCAGAAGAAATTAGGGTCTCCAAGAAAGACTACCAAACTCCTTGAGAACTCCCGCCAAAATGAGGATGCTCCGCCCACTAGTGAAACCCTTCAGCCAAAGAGTACACAACAAGAGAACAAACAACAAACAATAAGTTCCCCTGCCCTCTCCCCCTACTATACAGTCTCACCATCGCTCTTACTTCACTTCACATCACAAAACATTCCAAC